TATTTAATGTATTGCTGAGCTTACATAGTTCCAGCTCTTTGGGAGTTGGTATTTGGAAAGACTGCTTTGGATTTCTGTCTGTGGGAGTGAGAGACAGCCTGCTGTCCTCATTTCCTTCTTGGCAGCTCGACATCCTCCCTGCCCTTTGGAGAGGTGGTGGCTGAGGTAAGTGCAGTTGTGCAGAGAGCAATCAATTGTTTGTCATGCATGTTTAATAAGCAGCTGGAGTGACAGCCAGGACACCTTGGATAGCCTTGATAGCCACGAGTTTCTAAAGTGATCCAGTGTTTGACTCACGCTGAATTATTTGCAGACAAATGGAATGGATTGACTTTCAGAGGAACATGATGGAGGTGGTCTTACTTCGTGGCATTTCCACTTCTGGGTGTCTTTTTTTCGGGCTTCCCTTCATAGTTCTTTCTTTCAGTTGCGACCCTTTTTCTGAATAAAAGCCCTGCTGCTGCTGGTGTTTTATATCAAACTTACTCTTGTACCAACTTCCTATCTCTCCCTGCTAAGGGAGAATGAAAGATAACAGTCCTGGGGATTTCTCCAGTGGTCTCTTATCAGCCAGAGTTGCAGCTGTTGAAAAGATTTTAAGCATCTCCTAAATCAGTTTCTCCCAGCCCTTGGCATTATCCTCTAACTCAGATTTGGGTTTCTAATTGATGGTCATAGTGGTTCTGGTGAAGATTTGTGTACATGACCTCAAGAACCCTGAGATGCAGCAGTGCATTGGATGCAGTAGGGGGCTTTCCACAGGCTTTGGTGCACTTTGGCTCAGGCTTGTAAGAATAACAGGAAACACTGGAAAACGCACCAAGGGTAAACAGAGCAGTTTAGTTACATTAACTGTCTAGAGGAGAAACTCCATTAATGACCCAAACAAACAAAGCAAGTGCATTCATTCAGCATTGCTGTGGGAAAACAGAGGGCTGATAATTGAGTTTAGCTTAAAAGAGTTACACAAGAAATTGGCCAGCTCAGGCCCAGAGTGTAATTTTGGCATCCTAACCCAGTTCTGATTGCTGCACAGGCTTCAGGGAGGCCAGAGCTCCCAGAGACTGCATGCTATTTTTTATTCTTAGCAGTGCTACTTTAAAGCCTTACTCTCCAAAAAACTGCATCAAAGAGATCTGTTGTTGCTGCCTCCCTGTGCCTCGTGGTCAGATTTGCCTCGCTGTGATTATGTTAAGAGTCAGGACTCAGACTGGTCAGTCAGCTCATTTCTGGCCTCACACATGATGAGCAGCAGTAAATGTGCTGCAGGACTCCTCCAGTGAGGCCGTGGTGTCTTTGACTGGTAAGCAATGCATTATTTATATTAGGAAAGAAGCTGGAGTGTGAAACCAGAGACCCAGGGTGCTTACTCTGAGTAAACACTGAATGAAAAGAGTTGAAGAGCTGACAGTCTGAGCTGTCCTTGCTTGCCTTTGTGGAATCTCATTGTCTTCAGGAGGAGAATGTGATGAACTGAAAGGCTGAAGTTTCCTGGGATGGAAGAGTGACAAAGGGAAACTGATTCCTGCTCATCCATAATGTCTCTGCTGGCTTTGTAAAGGGTAACAGGCAGCATCTGTTTGTGGCTTCTGATAAAATGGACATTTATGTCTCGGGGAGAACACACAGGGCAGTGGGTTTGCAGGGCAGTGCAGTGTCATTTTGACATTGCTACTTCTAATCTAAGGGCTTTTCTTATCAACTCTTTGTTCAAGATCAGTTCATGTAAGAATAGAATTTCCCAAGGCAGAATATTTCAAGATACTGATTACCTACTTCTAATTCCACGTGAATTCTGAACAGCAGGTAAGATTAGATGGTCACAAATGAAATGTAAACTATTGATTCAGTTTGCACTGGTGTTTAGTACAAACACACACTGCTCTGTCCCATTTATTTCTGTTAAAAGGAGGGGGACTATTCATTAGTGAAAGGAATCAGCATGGCATTGCATTTACTACGTGTTTAGGAAAACCTGGTCCCTTTGATGTAGCTGGAGACCCTTGAACTTCAGAAAAGAATGTGTTAGCATGCTAGGGTATGCCTTAGTCCTTCAGGTCATTTAATCATTTTCTCAAGTGAGCCATTGTAAGGCAAAGTAGATCCTGAGAAAAGTTCTTCATTGCCAATTAAAACAGGCTCCAAAGGTGTTGCTGGTTTCATTCTCCCAGAAACTCATCACTGAGAGGCCAGGAGAGGTTGCCTGCGTACCTTGAGGCCAGATCCCAAGCTAATATGAACTGGCAAAGCTCTTGTGCTTTATACCAATAAAGGTATTCCTTTCAGGCTCAATTCCTTTATGCTTATGACTTTTAAAAGAATTTCTGTTAAGGAAACAGAATGGGTAAATTTCCACGTGTGTAATAATTGAATGAATTTCAGAAGAAGCCTGTAAATAACTTGAAGCGTGAGTTCTGATTCATTCTTTATAGAGAATACATTTTATCTGCCTCAAACCCTCTGCAACATAAAGCTGAATAAAGACTGGTAGCCTCAGCATTTGTCCTAGGCAAGACATTTTCCATGAAATCAGGTTTAAAATAAAGGAGGGGAATGTACTAATTAGTAAGTGCTACCCTTGTTTTTTGCCAACAAAATCTCACTTTCAACATATTTGACAAAAAATAATTTAAGCTCTTCAGAAAGCTAAAGCATTTCTTAATTAACAACCGTAGACCAAACACTAGTCTTTTCTACAGAGGATAAAATCAGGGATCCTAAAGCACTTGCAAAGTCAGGAAGATGATTTGTTTTCAGCCTTTTGAGGTGGAACAGCTGATGTGCCGACCAGGAGACCATTCAGGGGGCTGCCAGATCCCATCCCACAAAAACAGAGTAGAAACCCAGAAATGACCCAGCTTTGAGTCTCAGCACTGTGGCAGTCACAAGGGAGACAAGCTGCAAGAAATCTTGGAAACCTGCCTGGTCTCCTTTAGAAAAGTTAACAGGATTGCTGCATGCCCACGAGCCTTCTAAACTGGCATTTTGGGGTAAACTTTGTTCTGGATGATTCCTGACAAGCTTCCATCCTTTGCTTTGTGGTACTGAGCCCTTCCTTTCCTGACTTTTAGGAGCACAGTTTTTAGATGAACTTATTTCCATTGGAGAAATACTGCTGGAGCTTTCATCCTAGCATGTGAGGAGTTTTCTCTGTGTGTAGAAACAACATGGGTAAAATATTTGGAGTGAAACCCAGGCTCCATTGAAGTAAATGGCAAAACTCCCATTCACTTCAGTGGAGCAGGAATTTCACTCTTTACTGTTTTGAAGTTAGAGTTACTAATAGACTGTTAGATTATTCCTGCGTGCATCAAACAAAATGTGCTTGATGTTAATGTTTCTGCAGTATTCAAAAACCACTAAGGTTTAAAAACAAGAATAAGTATGAACTTCTGAGTCTAAAAATTATATTAAATGCAGTTTTGCTAGAAATAATAATAATGTCCCTGGAGATAAACCTAAAATAATAGACTCCACCATATAATCTTCACTATAAGCTAAAAATAGCAGAGATGGTGGTTTAATCTAAGCCATAATTATCAAAGTGCTGAAGTGGGTTTTGGTTCATTGCAGCTAGAAATGGATGTCGTGTTTGGGCTCTGAACAGTCGAGTCCCACAACTGGGGAGAAGCAAAGCCAAGAGCACAGTCAGAAAGCAAACAGGAGCCTCAGGTTTGCAGGGAAATAGCATGGATTAAACAGTGAATATTTAAAGGGACTGCTCCTGGCTTGCTCCAGCCAGCCAGCTGGAGACCCACTGAGTTCTGTGTTTTCAGCCCCAAATTGGTGATGTTTTGCTAGAAAGTGACACTGGCCATTGAAGACACCTTTCTTCTGAAAGTTGTTTACCTTTTCACCTTGGAATTGAAGGAGGAATGTTACTGTTTCGAGGAGTTATTACTCTGTATGATTCTGAAAAAAAATTTTAATGTTCATTTTGAAGTAGGATGGAAAATCCTTAAATCATTTTCACTGCCAGGCAGGTTGCTGTGATGGGCTGAGTGTAGCAGGTGACCTTGTTCACACCATTTTTCCCTGTTCACAAAGTTTTATCTGCAGTAGAGGAGTCTCACCTTCCTATAGTGGCAGCAGGGATTTATTCTGAACCTGGACCTGCTGTAGCAGCCCAGTGGTGCAGATTCCCCTAATGACAGAAGGGTCCTGAGGGGGAATTGGATGGAGGTTGAAGTAACTCTTTCCTGTTTCTGAACACTTTTAGAAATCCTCACTGAATGTGTTTGAATTCTTCCATGTGTTTATACAACACAATCTGCTGTTTGTTTAGATAGTTTATTTTGCTGTGTAGGTCACAGTCTGTCCTTGCTGAGATGGGCATGAGGCAGTCTTGGTGCTTGTTTGGACAGTGCTTGCAGAAATAGGGCTTGGCTTTGCCTCAGGCTCCAGTCTAAGCACTGCTGTTACAGACTTAGAGGCTAATTTAGGTTGGAAGGGCCACTGGAGATGATCTGATCCAACTTACCACTCAGAAAAGGATCAGTCTCAAAGTACAATACTGCTAATTTAGAAAAATGGTTTTCCTAACAGTATATTCCAAGTTCACACTGATGAAAGAACAAAGTAAGCCTATCTCTAGATCATCCTCTCAGTGTAATTGTAGGAATCCTATCCACTAGATTTGGGAAAGTAATCCAAAATTTTCAGTAAATATTCCAGCAGGTACCCTTCTCTGAGCTACATCACTTCTCCAGGTTCACTTCTCATAAACCCTGGGAGGACAGTCCATATGAAGCACATTTAAAAGTTTCAAACACACAAATACCAAACACTTTGTGAAATTAAAGCAATGGATAAATTAAAGGAACCTCTATTTCATTTATTTAACAGGTACCTAGGGCAATACATGACTAATTGTGTGTTGTATGTGCAGCCTGTTGTCCAGTGTTAATTGCTGAGAGTGTCATTGCTAAGGGCAGTGGGAAATGAGAAACCCACATCATGACTTGATAGGTTTTTTCTCTTGTCTTGTTTTAATCCAACAGCATGGGCATGAGCCACGATGATGATCATCAGCCCTGTGCTGGGAGGTCTCACATTATGTCTGGAGAATGGGTGAAGGGCAGGAACCCAAGTGACCTCTCCTGGTCTTCGTGCAGCCGAGACGACCTCGAAAACTTCCTAAAGTAAGGATTGTGCTGAGTGTCAGAAATCCTACCAGGCAAGAATCCACTCTGTTGCTTTGAAGTGAAAGTATTAACAATTTTCCTTTTGAAGAAGTGTACATATGTCATTAGGGTGTGCAAATTTGAATTTGTCTCTGTTGCAGTAGCCCTTTGAAAATGAGGGTGGAAGAGAGGCAGAAGAATTATGTGCAATTGTCAATGTACTGATAACATTTTTTTTTAAATCCCACATCACCTTCTTTTTACAGAAGATGCCCTTTAATTTTGCAATGACAGAAATCTGTGTATAGGTGGCCTGCAGAAATCTCTGCTTAAAGATGGTGCAGTTTTATGCTGTGGCTTTTACTGTCTTGTTATTAAATAGCTTTTATTTTATTGAAACTTGACTTTGCCTGGAGGTAACTCTGAGTGTTTTCTAACTCCTCAGTGTGTGTTGGTCTAAAATAATTCACTATAAACTTTCCCACTGCATCCATGTTTCAGCTCATCATATTCAATTGTTCAGGAAGGATTTCTGTCCTGCTGCTTGTTAAGTCTCATGTACTACAGGAAGCACTGGAATTGTATAAACTCTGCAGCTCTAATCTTAAACCTACAGTGAGTGCAGCTCTCTGACAAACAGTGCCTGGCACAGTGCTTTGTGCTAGGAGTGGGTTCAGCATGGAAAATATCCACTCTGGGTGTTGGAGGTGGGAAAGAAAGGAAAATAATGAAAGAAAATGGAATATTTACTGCCACACTAAAGGCATGAATTAGAAAAAGGAGTTGCATCTGAACTCATCTGGTTATATCTGGCCCCTGATATGACAGTGATATTCCAATTTGTAACAGACTACCGTGAAGGCAAAGAGAAAAATCTTCCCTTTATGCCTACGACAGATAAGAAAAAATGTCAAGGGCTCAGAATTCAGCTGGGGGGATTGAGGTGAGACATGAAAAACTTTCTAGCTGTCATTTCAAGGCTAGTGAAGCTTTGGGCTGGATTGCCTGAGGACTGAATTGAGTCTCCTCAGATGTCTAGGGACAGTTCAGACAAATGTTTAACCCAGAATGTTGTGAATGTCTGTCCTGCCTTGAGGCCTGAGGCCATGGTGAGTTCCCAAGGCCCTTTCTCTCCATAGTTCTCAATGATTTAGAAGACTTCCAGGGGAAAAACCCAGTGTTTGACAGGAGACTTCCCGTTCAAGAGAGGGCAGAGATGTAACACTGCGGCTCAGAGGAGCTTTCCCTGAAGGACATTTTCCCTTGCTGCCCTGCCCAGGTCCAAGGTGAGCACCTGCCTGCTGGTGACAGATCCCCGGAGCCAATATTCCGTGCGGCTCCCTCACAAACTGCCGGGCATGCACTACAGCGCCGACGAGCAGTGCCAGATCCTTTTTGGCACCAACGCCACCTTCTGTAAGAATATGGAGGTAAGAGCTCGTGGGTTGTAGCTGGAAACAAGGTGGGAAGTGGGAATAAAGCTGCCAAGCCCCTGGGGAAGGGAAAAGGAGTCTGTATTTCCCTCAGTTTCAGCGCTGCTGGTGGGAAACCAAACGGCCTTGAGCGCCATGTCCACAGCTCCTGCTGAGGCCTTGTCCTTTCCCCACACTGCCCGTGGTCACCTCCCAGGGCAGACTCAGGAAAACTGGTGTTTGCACTCTGTTCCCTTTTGACATTGTTTTGCTGAAATGCTCTGCAGAGATTGTTTTCCTGAAAGTTCAGCTGAGGTGAAAGTCTCTCCTCACAAGAGTGCTTGGCTACTTGCACAGAGTCAGCTTAGGTGGCTGGCTGGGTGTTTCACCCTCACACCACTGCAGTGTTCTTAGGAGCTGACTGTGCACTCTGTGCTCAGGAAATGCTGATGTCTGCTTGTTTCATGAGGCCTTACAGAATCCTGTGCAGAGCCCTGTGTGTCTTCTAAGCACCACGGTGTTTCATCAGGATTTGGGGTAGCATGGCTTTTATCATGGGGTTGGTTGGCAAAACGGGAACATTGATTGTTGCTGTCTCTAGAAGTAAGTTGTATTTGAGATGAGGCTGTTGGACTCTTCCTCTGGAGTTTAGACAGCCAAACTTTTCATAAGGTCTTAACACATAATCAGATCTTTTAATTCTGAGCAGATCTTATCCCCTGCTTTAGACAGGGAGTGAGGTAGTGCCTGCTTCCAGTGTGGCTTGGAGGTACTTAAAAAAAAGTCATGAAGCTGTCTTGGGTCACCAGCATCACCTCCTGACAAGTTTCTTGCTTTTAGTAACTGGCCATTTGTATTTTTTAGCTGTCCCTCATTCCCATTCTGAACAAGCTTGAGATCTTAAATCAGTGTTAAGAAAGAAAATAATAATCAGAGATAACTGAGGTTTCTAAGTGCCAAATTACTAAAACTGTTAAACATATGCAAGTCCTGGGAAAATGCTCTTAGTTTCACATTAGCTGTTTTATTTATTTTGGACTTGGAAGCTAGCTAATATAAAACAATAGGAAAATAATCTGGATAGGTTGTATTTCCCAACTCCATCAAGAAAATGCAGACCACCAGGACTACTGTACTGGAAGCAAAGTGTTAGAATATAGGTCTGTAAAGAAAACCTCAGATCTACCCAGCATGACTCAAGTTCTTCCACTTGTGTGGGTGTCACCCAGCTGGACTGCTCTTGGAAGAGATTTTTGCTATTTCCCTTATTGTGATAAAAAACCACTTTGTTTCTGGATATTCCAGTGGCTGATGAGAATGTCAGCCCGCTGGTTGGTGGTCAGCATTTCTCACACAGGAGTTGTGTGTCCAGTCTGGAATTGCTTCAGGGACATGTTGTTTGTCAGAATAATGTGCCAAGAGGCACCATTCTCTGGGAGATACAGGCAGCAGGTGTTTGTGTCTCCCAAGATTTTTCACCAGTCTAATTATTTGACACTTCAGAACACAATTAAAAATGTGCTCTTTTACTTCATCTCTTCTTTCTCCTGAAAAATCAGCATATTTTGTGAGGATATTGGTGCTTCCTAATAAAGAGCCTGGTAGAAAACTTCAGCAGATTAAAACCCATTTGCAGTCCCTTATTTAGATTTATTTCTGTTGCAGATGTGCATTAAGAATTAACATTCACCCTGTGGAGCTCTAGATCAGTTATGTCATATGCCATTAATTTAAGCAAATGTTTACATCCTGTTATGCTACTCTGATTTAGTGTTTGATGGCAAGGAAAGGAAATTCTTCAGAGGAAATGATCACTTTTGATTTTTAAACCTCTGAAATTTGTGTTCTTTTCACCTTTGTGTTCCTCAGGCCTCATCTGCAGAATACTTGTATCATAAGTCTCAAAGCTGTCTACAAAAATATGAACCAAAAAAAAAATTTGGCATTGGTCACTGGCATTAGCTGTAGAAATTATTGGCAAATACAGCTGTCTCCTCTTTTAGCCAATGGTAATGTGGTATTTTTAATTCAATAAAGTATTAAAAAAATCCAAATGTAAAAGCAATAAACATTTGACAGTAAATATTTGTTACGAAAAGGAAATAAACGTCAGGAAATGAGCCTGCTCAATCTTTTTATGATTACATGTGTCTGCTGCCTATTTTCTTATATAATAAAAGAGTTACATTACAATATTTCTTTGGAGATAGTTGAGCTACATAATTATATCAGGCAAGCTAGAGACCCTATATTCAAAAATGCCATGCAGTTTGCTTTAGAGCAAACTTCAGAGGTTAGATGGTTCCAAAATTTCAACATTTTTGAGAAATTGCAGAAAATTTCTGTGCAGTAAGCTCTCTCCTTTAACAGCATCAAAGCCCAGTTTTTTGAAGGAATGTAATCTTTGCTTTCACAGAGTCAGGTCCCTCAATGCTTGGCAGTGGCTGGGCTTCCAACATCAGTCCAACAAGATAGTTAATCCATGAATATTCACCCTTTTCTGAATATTTGAGATTGCATCCCCAAAATTGTTCTTCCATTTTGTTTTTAAGGTTAACTCAGATGCCTTAGAACAAAACTGTAGCTCTCAGGTTTATATATATAACTTTGCCAAACCATCTATCCTACAGCTATTCTGCTCCAAATTTACAGAACAGAAATTAAAACACGTGAGGAAGGCTCAGCTTCACATACATCAAACCTCAAGATCCCTTTCTCCTTTCCTTCTACATTTTAATATGCTAAAAAATGAGTTTATGATAAGTCAGATGATCCATAGTCTGTTGTAATGTGTGACCTCCAAGTTGTATAATTCAGGATCTGGTTCTGTAACCTCAATGTTGGATAAGATTTTCTAGTGCATGTCACCTCATTAAGGAGCAGTGGGTCAGGCTTTTAGGCTGGGTTCCTGTTAGGGCAGGGATCAAGTGTCCAAGGGCAGGTTGGATGAGGCTTGGAGCACCCTGGGATAGTGGAGGGTGTCCCTGCCCATAGCAGGGGGTTGGAACTGGATGAACTTTAACCATTCCAACCCAAACCATTCTATGGTTATAGGATTTCACATATATTAATGAATCTCACAACACCCTTCAGTAGATTCCCCCTTCATATCCAAGTTAGAGAGTTTTCTCCTGGAATATGCAGAGTGCTTTCCCCTGGTGCTTTCTGTTCATCTTTGCCATTGCAGATGTCAGGCACTGTGTGGTCCATGCAAGTCTTCTCTAGCAGGATGTACAAGTGTGCTGTGCCATGCCAGGCATGCTGCCTGTCTCCAGCTGGGAAGCTGCACAGTGTTGGCACAGCTTTGGCCCACCTAAGAGGTTACACAGTGGCCTTTATTTTGAGGGAGACAAGTTGCTTTTAGCAGAAATTAAATAGATGACTGTGTCATTCTCAAGCTTTGAGCAACATCGTGATAATTGCAGGAGAAGCAGGACAGAAATGCACCTCTGCCACTGCACGGGGCATTCTCAGGGCACCCCAAGCACAGAGATCCTGGGGGACTCTGGCTGCTGAGTGCTGCTGTGAGTCCAGGGCTAGCATGGGAGCAGTTGTGCAAATTACAGACAATTCAACCTGTCTGACCTCTGTCCTTCAGCTCCACACTGGGCTATGAATCAACTATTGTGAATTCATCTGACCCCTCTGAGAGAGGAAGCAGAGAGCTCCAGCCCCAGCCAGGCTATGATGCCTTGAGAGCAGGAGTTAACCCTTTGCTCTCCCTGTGTTTATTCCAAGAGGAATAGCATGGGTGGTTTCTGCTCAATCTCTCAGGGAGCAGAGATGGTGTTTCTCCCCCAGAAATTCATCAAAACACATTTGAAAGCTCTCATGGAAACTTTCTGCGTGTTTAATCTTTATTTTTCAGGCTGGCACGCCTACCAACAGAGGCTTTTACACTGAAATCATATTTATGGGGGAAAAAAAAGTGATTTCTATCTCATGTATCCATTTGGCTTTTTGTTTTATAAGCATTTTGGCTTATTTATTATTAACACATTTTTGTGGGTTTTTACATAACCATTATTGTCCAGCATTGTTTTGAGTCAAAGCTGGGCTGAGGCTGGAGTGGCACTTGGAAGGAGATTAACTCTGCTGCTAAGAGATTTTTTTTCTGACAAGGGACACTGTCAGCTCAGATGTAGCTGGGAATGTGAATTTTGACATAGCACTGTTTTTAGAAATATTAAACCAGCTGGAATTGGCTCCTCTGTTTTTCTTAGGTTCAGGTTGGTTTTTAACAAATGTAGGTATTTTCCAATATCTACAAGCTACAGAACAAGAGGGCAAAGTTGATTGCAAGCCAAAGGAGACAAAGTAGATTTCATGGCTTATATGGAAGAGGAGAGGAATCAAAAACAAAGTAAAGAAAAACCAGTGATTGTAGTGATCGAGTGGATTTTCTGTACCCCTTCAGTTTGCATATTTGATGGTGTGGTGGTGAGTATAATTCAGCAATTGTAGGTCTCTCTGTGGTCTTGGTCTTACAAAGAGACTGCTGGAGTGGCCTTTTGGGCTCTGTGCATGGGAATCAATGGGCCTCTGTTTGCCTTTTCTCTGCAGGGCCATTTGTGAGATGCAGACCATGATAGTGAGCCCTATTATTTAGTATTGTATAGAATATTTACAAGAACGTGGTAATTAGATTGAAAACTGGTTTATCCTGAAAATAATAGGTTGCATTTTCGTTTTCTGTACAGTCAGGGACTTTGTCCATATAGTAATCCTAATAAATCTGGAAGAGGATGGGTTGGGTTTTTCTTGAGGCTTGCACGATAGAAGTCTGGCAATTCTGAAATAAAAAGAAGAATTTTTTTTGAGAAGTAAAGGTAACAATTAACTTAATTGCCATGCTATAGTTTATAGTTTTCCTCATGTAGGTTGTTAGAATTCAGACTATTTTCACATTGCCTGTTTCTATGAAGCTGAAGTGTCCTATTTCACAGCTTCTGTATGCTACAAAAACACCTTTTTCTCTTTACTTTCAGTGGAAATGCTTTTTGTTTAAGAGAGAGAAA